CAAGTTCGAGCGAAGAGTCATTTTTTGGCCCGACCCAACCGTTTACCGATAGCGGCTACATGAGCGACGCGGGCAGGCGACGGTTGCATGACATTACGTCGGTGCCGTCATCATCAACTGCATTATTGTTTCCAAATCCACTGTCTTCTCGGCTGGATACCCCGCAGGTTCCGACGGCCGCTGCAGGCGAGACCGGGGGCGACGGGGAATGGGTTTGTGCAGCAGCTGGGCAGAAGAGGCCACAGGTCGTAGACAATGCTGCCTCAAAGAGGCACAGGCCAAGCGCAGAAGGGACGACAGAGAAATCGGTTACCAGCGAGGCGTCGAATGCTGACCCGGAATCTCCGGCATCTACCTCTATGCCTTGCGCTGTTCCGCAGGGTAACGTTGCAACGGGGGCTGTGAGTGGCATTGCAGATCCTGTGCAGCACCAAACGTTGGAAGAGTTTATGCAAGAATTCGAATTGAGCTCAGAAGACTGGGATTCAATATGCAACCCCTTATCGGCCACATCCGCAATGGCGTGCAATGGCTGGGACGGAATGTTCGACAGCATCACGGCTACATCTACTATGGCACACGAGGGCATTCCCGTCAGCGACGAGTTACAAGACGTGGATTTGAGCAAGAACGCAGCTACTCTTCCAGCTTTTTTATCGGAACAACAGCCAAGTGGAACGGTACTCCCTGCGGAAGAAACCTAAACCTAACGTCCGGCAAGATAAGATAGGATCTAACAGCATGTTTTATAAACCCCCTTTTCTGAACCTTGCCCTCCGCCGTGTTCCATTTCCCGAGCATGATAATGACAGGTTTGCTGGATAGCGGAGTTAGGATGGCGACCTGATTCGGCTCAACAAAGATCCAAGTGTCTCCTTCTAAATGTGCCGCGACTGGTTCATCTTGGCGCTTCCCTCGCTCTATGCGGTGACCGAGGAAAACACCATCATTATTAGGGAGCTTGTGTTATGATTAGCCATAGCCAATTATCGCCCAGCGCGAAACTCACATTCTCGTCAATAAATGTGCTGAAACTTGCTATCTCACGTGTCTCATCATAACGGATCATTTTGCCATTCGCTGACTCTATCTCCGCAGTCGGGGTGAGAGATGGGAGAGATTGAACGATTTTGTCAAAGAGCGACCGGACTTCTGTTCGATCGCACGTATACACCGCATATAATTCGTTTGAGTTATTCATTTTCGTGTTATTCGCGGCTTTATTGCTATCAGAGGACTAGTATCTAAGTAGGGGCGGGGTTCCATGGCCTTTTAAACCTAATGACCTTGTGCTTGCCCCACCGAATATTCGCACATCATTGGTCGGCGTGACTTGGAATTGGGCCTCAGCTAAAGCCTAAGGCGATTGTCCGTCTATCAGCACCATTACAGCAGTAGCTGGAATCGCATTTGACATATCTGCAAACGCAAAATATAATTCGTCATGCTCTGATAGTGATGTGGCCGGCGAAGGCATTGAGTCTGTGGATTCGCACGTGCACGATGGTCCATCACTGTCTCCGCTGTCTTGATCCGCTGGCGAGCGACGCAGGCCCTGTAGCTCAGACAACAAAGCCGCCAGCCGGGAAGCACTTGGTCCATCGCCATTGCGTCGTAGGGTTGCCTCTTTAATGTCATTCTCTGGAGCACCTTGTAACATTTAGCCAGATAGTTTTGATAAAATATTGAGGGCCTCATACTTCGTGGTGTTTCTGGAGAGATGCTGCCCTCCGGGGTAGCAGCAACATTGGCATTGTCATGCTCTTGCTCGCAATGGACCGCGCCTCTCTCACCATTGTTTTCCGTGGGTGGAGGGGAGAGCGAAGCATCCGACAGTTTATTAGCAGGATTGCCGTCTCTTTCCGCGATAGCTGATTTAGGCAGCCCGGACGGTAAGGCATCTAACGGGGTAGCATGTTCGACGACATCATATTGTGCGCCAGCGGCTTCGTTTCCGTTTTGGGGGGTATCTTGTATTTGTTAGCTAAGTAGTCTAGGCAAAGGTGGAGGGCAATTTACTCGGTGGTCCTTCACTGGCGCTACCTGGAGTGGAAGCGGCGCGTTTGGCACATCTGTGGCCTTGTTCTCCTGCGGCAGCACGCGAAGTACCACTCGTACTAGTGCACAGTAGTAAGCATGAAGTTCCGAAATTGGTTTTCGATAAAATGGAATGGACATAGGTCTTCGCCCCATCAGAGTTTCGTATGTCTCCATAGGTTCACGTAGCGCGGGTGGTTGTGAGTATTGCAGCATCGGATATTGATGGCCCATCAACGTATGAACAAAGAGATGGCCCGATATTGGATCAAAGATATACCTCTACTTACTTCTTCTGAGACTGCATTATTTCTTGAAGAGAAAGATGTGCAGATATCTTGATGAAGGACATAAAAAGAAGTAGGGTAGCACAAGGACATGCCCAGAAAGCACCTTTTAAATAGACAAACATTTATTATCAGCGACAGGGAAGACTTGCACGACACAGCGCGAGCTTCTCATACATGGGAAACGATAAAACATCCATGTTTTCCTCTGAACCTTAGAGACCTGCATGCAGTACCTGCAAGACAAATCACATCTCAGCCGTGCGGAGTCGAATACTGAAGTGACTTGGCTGGCACAGCTTCGATGCTTGGAAGTGGGATGTATTTTTCGTCAAAAGAAACAAGAAGCAGGCTACACATCATTTCCTATCTGGAAGCAAACCGCCCACTGTCCACTCCAGTAGCTCAACACAATATGTGTCCAATTTCCCGATGAAGCTAGAAGGTACAGGGATGTCCTCTGAACCTCATATCCTGTTCGGGCAACAGGACACAGAATGCATCTCGTTTCCTCTTTAAGAACCAGGATACAGAATTCATCTCGTTTCCTCTTCAAGAACCAGGACACAGAATGCATCTCGTTTCCACTTCAAGGCCAGGACACAGAATGCATCTCGTTTCCACTTCAAGAGCCAGGACACAGATGCATCTCGTTGCCAATAAGCATTACTAAGACTCAAAGCTCTGACGTTATATGTACGTCACGTGTCATTCTAAGACGGGCATCGGCTAACATGTACATCTTATTCTCACATGTTCACCAGCACTTGCTATAAGTCAATCTCCTCCTAAACCCGCCCAGTGATTCGGTTCCCCCAGGAGGATTTCAGGTTTTCCATCAACGGGAACATTGCTAAAAGCTCAGTCTTCAAATTAAGCGTTGTTAACAGATTAAGGTCTTCATGTGGGGTGCGGTTACACGATCTTACCTGGCTTTCATAAACATGTGTGTAATGTACTATTTTGAGGCGCTAGAGCCACCACATTTCGTGCAGTCGAAGGGACCAACCTTGCCAGTATCGTTGCATTCGACACAGGTGGGCATCTTGAGCGCTGTAGGTTGTAGGTGAATAGATTGTGAGACTACGTTCAGAGTCTAGTGATCGCATGACGATTTTATATTGTGGGTGTCGCGGCCTGGCTTTTATTACGTAATCACTCCGCCCCGCAGTTGGGTCGAAATAGAACCGCGCTTAAGGCTGCACTTCGCTGTCCCACGACCATCGTGAGCTTCGGCAATGGCTTCATTGATATTTCAAACCCCGGTGGCACCCGAAAAAAAGCAGATCTGTCAAACTTGCTCAGAGAGGTTCAACTCAGCGGTAGAATTGCGCCGCCACATTGCATACTACCAGGCTAGTGTCGAGCTGTCTGTCGAAAGGTCTCTGCTGACATGCCATAGCTCGAGGAACAACAACTGGTCAGCAGACTGCTGGAAATCCAGGCACATCTACCGCCGACGCATCTTCCAAAGAAAGTGTATTACGAACATAGTGAAGGGCTTGCCTGTCAAACCTGTTTCGAATCCTTTGATTCACGTGTTACCCTCGACCGTCACATTGCAGAATATCAGGTAGCTATTCTCCAGTATCCAGTACAGGGAGACCTCATGCTGACATAATGTAGAGAGAACAGCAGCTGATTGTGGCAGCATTATCCTATATACATAGCCATTCAGCGCGACAAAGCCATCGTCGAGGCCCTGAGGAAGTCTTCACCAGCGGCGACCTTGATGACGGCACTCGTGACAATGTCAGTAACTCTGGCGAAAACGGGCGCACAGACGCTCAATACAATGACTTCGGCTCCCTCGATAAATCTTGCCACAGCGTTAAACGCAAAAGAGCACGTGCTGGAATAGAAAGGATCTGCCCACATCCCGAATGCCATGACAAGCAGAGGCGGTGTGCGAACAGCACGCTGCTCTACAAACATTTTCAAAAACGTGCGCCGCTCTCCTGCTTTCTTCTCACTTCTGATGATCTGACAACTAGGGGCAGATGTATCGTGCCTAGACATATGTGTCTATTGTAGAGACATTTTTGCAAAGGTCTCATCGGCTCGCAGACACGATTGTGAAAATAGACAGCGCATCGAACGGAACGAACAATTCAGGCAGAGCAGCAGATTGGAGATGCTCAGAGCAAATCGACACAAGCAGTTGGCGTACCGATCTGAACAAGAGATGAACAAGCTTCTCGGTCGCAACTCTGCCAAGCAACGCAGAAAACCCTTCGGCAGCGGCATCTCTACACCACAGCAGCCATGCATGAAAATCTTCACGCATAGCAGCCCATCACATGATACTGCGCAGGGAATGAGTATTCTTCGACAGGATATCGATGTAAGCGAGACGCAACCACCCGATCTACAGCCAACTCACATGCCTCCGGAATGGAACGCTTCATGTGTCAGTGCGGCCGAAGCATCACAGATGCTGGACGGATACGCTGGTATCTTCTTCAATGCAGCTCTCCCGCCATTTTACCAATCAACTTCCCCCATTTTGAGCACGGTACCATCTGCGTCTGCGACTGACTATTCCAGTTCAGAGGGTTACGCCGGCATTTTCCTACATGACTCTATTGCTCCTATTTACTCTGCAGCGCCGCAGTAATACCAGGTTATCTCGAGTTGTTAGTTCAAATTCGCTCAACGACAATGTGATTATTATTATTACTCTGCATCATAGAACAACGCGTTAACTTTCAACGTCGGTGTTTCGATACTTTCCACAATTGCTCTGAGCGATTTATGTAATTTCATATGTGGCCACTTTCCCAGTACGGATTCCTTGCCAATGGCAACAGTCAGGGCTGTACCGCGTAAAACCTCCATGAAGACTCTAGTATCACGAATGCACCTATCACAAAGTGAGATAGGTTCTCACATGATTTAAGGAGGGTCACTTACCATCCACCATCGTCGAAAGTCTGCTCTACATACTGCAGACCAGCTTCCGCAAGCTCATTCGGGGAAGCCTGCCACAAGCCGATTTTGCCGGGGATGGAGGGCACCTTTACCCGATCTGTGCCCTTCCATAGGCCGATTTTTGATTCCTTTGCCAAAAGATGGACCAAGACAGACTCAGCGGGCTGGTCTGGGTTGCATTGTCGAAAGGAGTATGCCCCTGGTACCGCCCCTAACGTTCGATAAAGGCCCAAGCCAACAGATTCGCATTGCAGGTAAGACCTGAGTACTTTCATAATATCCTGTAGATCATTAGAGCTGATAAAAAAAATCAAATGGCTCACAAACCGCATCCTCTTTTAGAGTTTCCTTCAAGAGTGTAAACCCCGCAGTAGATTGCACAGGAATATGTCCTTCCACCATGGCTGTAACTTGTTGTCCCAGAGCAGCATCTTTTATGAACATGAACCCATCTTCGGCCATGGAAAGCTGGTTTCGAGCTGTTATTGTATGAGAAGGAGCCATGGTCACAGAGGCTGGCGTCATGTGTCTGAACACGGGTGTTGTAGCTGCCTAACTTCAGCGCCTAGCCACGGTTTATATTCGCCGTCCATTTGCCCCGCTTCACAGGGGACTGTGGGTCCACGTTTGACAGTAGTGAGTCCGCCTATATTCGCCAGACCAAGAGTCGCTACGCAAACCGGCCCTTCGACTCAACTTCATCACCGCCACAAAATTACCTTTCAACCTCAGTTGGCGGGTTTCTCTTCACAGGCATGGAACAGACCAAGTTCTGCCAGAACGACACTGAGTCTACTCTGGACAGTTTTGCAGTAAAGGGGCCCGCCGGCTTCGTCCATGGGTGCTGGAACAGTCTTGACGACAATCCGAAGCACAACGCGAAATTGAAATTTACAATTACTGGACACATGAGCTAAAGGATTGAGCTTCTAGCGTATTTTAGGCCACCATTATGGCGATGGTGCGCTCTGCCGGCGACGATCCTCTGGATCTCGAGAAAGTTGGACCATGACCGCAAACTTTTAGGACACTATTTGCCTCGGGGGTTGGTGATGGAGCTCTTGGAGGTAAGATCTGGGTCTGTTTCGATGACAAGCCGGGAATACATAAGGGAATGGCAAGCCGCAATATAGTCGTCAAGTGTCGTGAGTCTTGTTTGTTCCTCTGCTATATCAGCGCGTTGTCGCTCTTCCTCGGCGCGTTGTCGCTCCTCTTGCTGCCCGCGCTCTGCTTCCTCAGGGTGAGTATTGCTACAATATCACTAGCTTACACTAATCATCCGGAAAGAGAACGAGAATACCGTCCAGTTCGCCTTTTCGCAGGTGCCAAGAGAGGCTCCGACTGTTACCCGGGCTAGTCCTAGAAGCTATCAACCGCAGGAACTTTGCAAAGGACAAAAGCCAAGGAGAGGCGAACACAACATGCGTGGATATTTTCTTGCGGCCAAGAGAGGAAGATGGAAGCATTGTCATAACCGCCGGTTCGAGTGCACGTTACTGGGAACGCCCTTGCAATGTCCAAGTGGGACATCAATAAAACTTGACTCTTTTCGCACTGATCACCTCTGTTTTTTTGCCCTTCAGAACGGCGAAGGATGTCACAGTCTTTATGTTATACCAGTCGACACTGCCCTTCTGGTCGAATATGCGTAGATATGACGTCTGAGCGACCGATACTTTCTTGTCCATCGTGAACGCTGGAAAGATCTTGGAAATGATGTCCTCCTCTATACCCCGAATTGCTTTCGCTCCCTGCGCAGGCAAATGGTCAGTCTTGTATTTACTTCCTCCTCGAGCTCTGTCATGCTGAGGGTGAGATTTTTCTGCTCTGAAATCCTCTGAACTCTTCGAGATAGTATCCGTGTTATTCTTCTCGGTATGAAACAGCTGTATCCGACAAAATTTTACGAGGACAGAGCTTGATAACAGTCAGTCGGTTCAGGACCTTTTTAGCCCTCGCCCCGCAATGGAGCAATGCTCGAATGAGCGCCCAAGGCAGTACCTGACGCTGGCATGTGACTTACGAGTATTACGTCGCATCCCGTGCGGCTGTTCTACTATCAGAGCTGGAGGGAATCCAGGCCTTGACGGCAACAATTTCGAATCCGGGAGCACGATACAATTTATAAGATGAAAGCATAGCATCGCGGGTAGTTGGCAGAATATGGAGACTAGATCACGTAGGACGCCAAATCGGCCGGAATTTAGCCACTGCCCCAGAGCCTGGCGCGAGACCTCGCAACTAGCTGTGATTAGTCATGCAAGTATGAAGTGTTAGACATCTCCGACAAACGCGTGGCATACTGCGCTGGAGTGACAAGATTGACTGACAGAAACTCTTTTTTACTCTAGATCTTTGCTCTTAACAATCGATTTGTGTTAAGGTGACATGGATTTTGAGAAATTAGAAGGGCTGCGAAAGCGCCTTGAGGAGGAGCAAAAGTTACGAAAACAAGCCGAGCAACAACGCGACGAAGCCAAGCAACGACGCGACGAAGCCGAGCAACAACGCAACGAAGCTGAGCAGCAACGCAACGAAGCTGAGCAGCAATTGAAGCGTCAGACACAGAACACAACATTGTTAGAATTTCTTGATGCGTGCCACCAACATCTATTTCTTGGTCTAGATGTCCAGGAAGACAAAGAATCCTCAACAAAAGGTGACCCCGCGAACGCCGAACAGAAACTCCGCCCAGATCACATCCGAGAATGGACAAATTTCCCACGAGAGCAAGCTAAGATATGGAAGGCGCTAATGGATGCCGATTTCGTCACCGAGCGTCACTTTACGCCTCTGTTGGTGTTAGAGGACAACGGCAAAGACCTACGACAGCGGAGTTTAAGCTCGGAGCTTGACCTAGGATACTTCGAACGGCAAACAGTTGAGACGCGTGTTGCATCAGTCGTTAAACAGCTGCACAAGAACCCTCCACTTCGCGAAACGTTTCAACTGAAAGGAGACGTTGCATTCGAAAACCATGCGAATACTTTGACGGACGAGAGAATACCTGCGACAGATATGAGCTCTTTGAGTCTGAAGACAGGCCCTCTACGGCGATCTGGGCGCCTTGCTGCGAAATCGGGAGGGACGTCATCCCTCTCTGCAGCAACCCGCCAAGAAAGTCATCAGAAGCCCCGGCAACAAAGGCTCGCGCGTCCCAAGGCGGATCAGTTCTGCGTCTACAACAAAGGGAGCTCCGAGCGGATACCTGCTTTTATCGTGGAATACAAGGCGCCTCACAAGCTTTCTCTGGCGCACATTAAGGCCGGCCTCATGGACATGGACCTTGATGATATAGTCCGACTCCAAGAAAATGAGACCCCCGAGATGATATGCCGGCGTGTCGTTGCAGCGGTCATCACCCAGGCATATTCGTACATGGTCACGGGCGGTATTCCGTTCGGCTACCTTTGTACTGGAGAAGCATTCATATATATTCACGTAAAGCATGAGGAGCCGGAGTGCGCATACTACTATCTCTCGGTCCCAAAGGAAGACGTTGGCGAGTCTACCGGCTGGACAGCCGACCTTGATGGTGACAATCGCCTGCACCTCACTGCTTTGGGCCAAGTCCTGGCGTTTACTCTTCGTGCGCTGCAAACCACCCCACGGGACAGTGGTTGGATTAAGTGGGCGGAAGCGAAATTAAACAGATGGGAGATGGTATACGATGATATCCTCGGCGAAATTGAAGAAAAAGACATACCAGCTTCCGATTTCAAGCCCAGTACTCGAAGCCGAGATAGATACTTGCGCATGTCTCCGGTGAAGACCAGGGCAAGAGCCATGCTAGCCAGCGCGGCTTCTTGTGACCCTTCGCAGCACATCTCATCATCAGATGATGATGAAAATTCGGACGAGAGGTTCGACCCCAACACACCGAGCCGAAGTCCACGAGAGCCACGAGCTGCCAACTCTTCGAGTCGCCGGGCTGCCACGAAAGCTTCGAGGGATACAAGCACAAGAGGCGCAGTCCGGGAGTACTGCACACAGAATTGTTTGCAGGGCTTGAAAACGCAAGCTCCACTCGATCCGACTTGTCCAAATGTATCAGTTCATGGTGTCAATCGGCATCGATTGAGCCTAGCCGCGCTCATTCGTCGATTGTCCAAGCAATTCTCCCCGCAGGATTTGCATCCAGACACGCAGCTAGGGTGCAAATCACTCCACACAAACGGAACCCGCGGTGCTTTATTCAAAGTGACCTTGCTCTCCCACGGATACACTTTTGTTGGTAAAGGCGTGCCGGCAGAATTTGTTGGCTATTCGAAACATGAAGAGTCTGTATACGCTCATCTTGCCGAGATCCAGGGTCTGCACGTGCCCGTGGTGTTAGGGGGGCTGGATGTCCCTTCTTTATATTATGATGGCATCGTGCAAATTGTGCGTATTATGCTTATGAGTTATGCCGGGGCTCCAATCGCGAGAGCCATTACGCAATGGCCTGAACATCGTGATCGCATGATCCGCAAGGCTGAGATCTCCTTGCGAGCTGTGCAGAGGTGTGGGGTACTGCACTCGGACCTAATACCTGATAACATCTTGCGAAATAGCAGAAATGATCAGGTCATGCTGATTGATTTCGAAAGAGCAGCTATCCCAGAACAACGAACGCCGCTGATGCCGGTGCCGTCGAATCGGAAGCGCAAGCGAGTTGACCAATCCGCTAAGAGCCAACGGGAATCGGTTGCTTTTGATCGCGAATTTCGGAGGCTGCGGAATCACCTGTTTTAATGGGCCAATATGCTTATGCTGAATGAATAAACGGAGCAGTGTTGTTTCTTACGCAAGTTCTCGGCCATTACCTTGTATCTCTTGCAGTTCCTATCGCTATTTTTGAGTCGCTATTTTAAGTATCGCATTCAAGCGTAGCACGAATGAAAGCATAGTTTAAGCATTTCTTTCGCAGAATAATCAAACTATATATGCCTTAACAGTATTAAATTTCCTTCTGCTCCTATTGCCCATCGCGAGTCTAGGATAATAGGGTAGGTGCCCGAATCCTAAAATTCCTATCTTAACTTTATGTGGTTATACAGAGAAGGGCGAAACAAATGTCACACTTTTAGCTAACAAGAATAATAGTGGCAGCCATTTTAGCCTGTGACGTAGCGCCGCCAGATATCCACCAGGTACCTGAAACTCTTTCGTGGGGTAAATGTGCAATTAAACTCAGCCGTTAGTTTGCCATATATGCACCAATTGTTGCTCTATTACGACAAAATTACCTTTCGGCGATGGAGTAGAAATCTCCTTCCTATCCTGAGCTTTTTTCTGCCTAGAAATACGGCATTTAATCAGTTTCTGCCCCTGTAGTCTCATTCTTTGATTTGATTTGATTTGATTATTTACGTCTGT